TACCGCCCACTCGTTGCCCACTGAGCGTGTATATAAACGCTCAGCAGCCAGGTGTACTTTGGTTTACAATCATCTGCTGATGATGCTGGCAGTTAACGAAACGCGCGTCAGTGTAAAATAAAAGTGTTTTTGGTGTATTGTGATTTAGTGTTTTTTATTTTTGCTATATTTTTTACCAGTAAGTTTATACAGGTACGGACAAAAAAGTTATTAGTCTTCAAATCAGTTAAAAAATATGTGAGTGAAGCTATCTCTAGAAGTAGGACTCATATTGACATCAATCAAATTCTTCATGTCAAAAAAAGCCCAGATTCAAATCTCCATCAGCTCATTAATTCAAGAAATTATTTAGAAAAATTCAAATAAATGAAACTTCTACACCCAGTATCTCCAAAACTAAGCATTTTAGGACAGCATTTATAGGAACTTTTTTACTTATTTTTATCTGCAGAATATGCTGCTGCCGAAGTTTCCTGAATACAAGTTTGGACCGCCCTGTATATTTTATATACAGGGTGTCCCAGAAATATGTGCAAATATTTTAAGGGTGTGAGATCTCGATAAAAGAAACATATTTTCTCTTTATCGTTTTTCAAATAAGCCCAAAATAACGGAGTTATTTTACTTTAAAAATTTCCAAAAAATGATTTTTTTCCTAAAATTTTGAAAACCAATGGATCTTTTCTGATTTTCTTCTTGTAAATTTTATCTAATACCTTTTGTTGCCAAATTATCAAAAAATTATGGTTTTAACTAAAAACTAAAAAATTCCAAAAATTTTTTCACAAAAAATTTCTGAATTTTCAAAATGTTTTCTGGCGAAAAAGCCTCATAGGCGTGTTTCTGGGATTGAACTATACTACCACCTAAAATATTTGCACTTATTTCTGGGACACCCTGTATATATTTTATATATATTATATACTTTTTTCGGCAAATAGGCTATTGCTTATCAAAATAAAACACATACTATGGTTTTTACTTCAAGGCCTGTGGACAGAAGTTATTGCAAATGAACCAGTAAAATTTCTAGGTGTTACTTGGACAGGGGTTTGCTCTGGAGAGCACAAGTTGATGAGTTGTGCAACAAATTATCCACTAACATCTTTGTTCTAAGGAATTTGAGACACTGCGTTTCTGGTTATATTTTGAGACAAGCATACTTTGCTCTTTTCCATGCACATATGAAGTACGGCCTGATTGTTTGGGGTCATAGCAGTGGAGCCAATAGAGTCTTTGGACTACAAAGAAAGGCAGTTCGAATAATCTCAGATACACCATATCATGCAGACTGTCGACAAGAATTTGTTTCGAATAATATTTTAACACTGCCCTGTCTTTATATTTTAGAAACTTCTATATGTGAGAGAGAACATACATCAATATGTAACACATGAATCGGTCCATACTTATGCTACACGTAATAAAAATGATTTAAATTAAAAAAGTTGGCGTTTAAAAAGATGTCAGGACGGCCCTGGGTACTTAGGAATACATTTTTTTAATAAACTTCCACATATCTTATTAGAGATTTGCCCATCACAAAAATTTAAGTCTGTTCTGAAGACATTCTTTGTTGATCGGGCATTTTATTCTCTTAGTGAGTTTCTAGAATGTGATATTAGCAGCATTATGTAAAAATTTGAATTTCAAAGCTTGTTAATGTTTGATTTTTAAATTGTCTTTTAATTATTGTGTTTGTATATTTATTTTAGTGTTTAAACTTCGCAATATCTTTAATAATTTTACTTTTCGTATTTCGTTTTTTTAAGTGAATAATTAATGACAATTTGTGTAACACTTATTTACTTGTGTATGTATTTGATATTTAGCACCAAAAACTATTTGAAATTTGAAATATTTTATTAACTACAAAAAGACTCGTTTTAATCTAGTAAATAATATCCATGATATGCATATATAACGACAATAAATTGATACATCCTTCACTCCGAGTCTATTATACGGCTCGAAACCGACGCCGCGCCGGTTCTTTTCCTACAAAAGCCACCATTATCATTATCATCATCGCCATCATCATCGTAATCAAGCGAACGTGCTCCTCGAAGATACACACCATCATCCAGCTCGTCGTTCGTCACTTCTTCCGACTCGGTTCCTGTCCGTCCACCGCCGCCGTCGCGGAGGAGTTCGTTGAACCCCCGGATCCCCCGAGCGTCCTGGCCCCTGTCTGCGGTACCACGTACCCCGGCGAGTACTGGGGAGCATCGACGGAAGGCAGCAGCAGCAGCAACAACAACAGCGCCGGGTCCGAGATTACACAACGTACCCGTGGTCGAGTTACAGCATGGGACGCCGCGTCGCTCTTGGACGTCGTTGTCTTGTCGGTTCAGCGTCGGGACGCCGTTGACGGGGAGCGATGATGCGTCGAGGTCGGTGGTTACGGTAACGAGGTGTTCGAGGACGCGGTGTGAGACCGGTGGTGATGGTGGTGGATAGGGAAGGGTGGTGAATGGATATCGGTGATGTTTTTTGGCGCAGGATTAGGGTGGTATGGAGACGTCTTGCGGTTTGGTCTTTAGGATTGAGATAGTGACTGTTTGAGGTATTGTTTTGATAACGTCGAATCGTTGTTGGAGTAAAATATCGGATGATAGAAACAGGGAAAGCTAAATAATGTTCTTATATTTGTAGCTAGTTCTTATACTATGGTTTAGGTTTATTTTTATTGAAACAGAAAACTTAAAAATCAAGTTAATTTGTATTCGATTTACAAGGCCATACACTTCCCAGGGGATCTTTAATACAATATAGTCTAAAGTCAACGTCCCCTTGACTTTTTCTATATTCTGTCTCAGAATATCAGAAGTTAAATATACCTATCTCTAAAAAATGAGTAAAGAGTTGTCATTATGGTCACATTATGGTCTACTTTTTTTAATGAGGAAAATATCCTTTAAAATGTCAAAATGTTTTTTGATTGGTTTGACAATTTTATATACAAATAAAGAGCTATTGAAAATTTTGTGTCAGAGGATTTTGAACCTAGTAGTGTTTTACAAAATATTATTTTATTTTTTTAAATTTTTGGCTGCAGTGACGATATACTTTTTTAATGAGGAAGTAGTAAACACTTTTTTATTTAAACAAACAGAGATTTAATAAAAAAATGAAGAAGTTCCACAAAATACTAGACCACTGCAACGAAAAAATTGTCATTTATAATGATGGCTCTAAAACACAAACTGGTGCTGGATGTGCAATTATTATCAATGGGTCAGCATTCCAATGGACTTTGGAACATGAAGCATCAGCTTTCTTCACAGAATATTTTGCGACCTGGAAACCCTGATCCTATGTCATCGAGAAATATAATCAAACTAGAGTGGTAATTGTTTCTGACTCCTTAGAGATAGTGTCTAAATTAATGACATATTTGTCCATGATTCTCTGAAACTAAAAATTCAGACGCTGATTCGAGAGTGCAGTGGAAAGGGAAACAAACTCACGTTTGTATGGGTCCCAAGCCACAATAATATACTTGGTAACACAATGGCAGATGAAGCTGCTCAGCAAGCTGCTAGAAGAGATGCCATTGATTTCCCTTATATTAGCAAATATTATGTTAAAATACTACTACATAAAAGAACAGAAATGGAATGGAAGGATGAGTATGCAGGTAAACCTTCAAAGCTTCGCGCAATAAAAGAAGATCCGTCAACCCAATCCTTACGTCTTGCACGAGCAGGTGAATCCAGACGAACAGATGAATCCAGAGTGAGTCTTCGTATTGGGCATATTGCAATGACTCATGCATATCTGCTTAAAAGAGGAATGCCTCCAATGTGCATGATCTGTGATGTTGAGTTAACAGTAACTCACATTATATGTGAATGTCCTCAATATTCGGTAGAAATAAGTAGATTCGATATACGTGGTGAATTTCGTGAAAATTTAACTGGAGAAGAAAAAATTAAAAATATTTTAAACTGTATGAAAGATATTAATATATACCACTAACTGTGATACTTACCTGTGATAACTCTAATCCAACTGTGATACTGTGATGTAGATAATTACCTATTTTTCTTGTTGTTTGTTTTTTTTCTCTACTTTTTTGTATTTCTATTTGTTTTTAATCTTTTTGTCACTCAAATTGAAATGTTTATGTCAATGTAGATTTTTAAATTTTGAATTGTCCTTGTAAGAGTGATCCCTTGAGGGATCCCCTGTAATTGTATTGTTATCAATAACGAGTTGTACATGGCTAATGATCCTGATGATCGATGTCTAGGAAAAAAAAGGAAATGAAATGTGTTAAAAAAATAGAGTAACTGAAGATTTTTTTAGTAATTCATCTTCTGCTGGCGCTTGAAATATTGTAAATAAGGGATGAAAATTAGAATGAACTCTAGCTAGCCACGTTATAAAAGATGATATGAAAAAAATGTACTATTCGTGATTAGCTATATTTTTTATACGGCATGTAATTGGATGATGTCTATCTATATGATTTTTTGAGTTATATATTTTGAAATAAACCTAATTAGAAAACATATATTCATGCAATTTTCAGCAATCAGCGTAATTTTTTATTGATAGAGATTTTCACATACTGTCTACAAAGAAATACAGCGAAATCTTAACAAAGTTCTTGAAAAAACTACAATCTATTATTTCTAATAGGTTTTAGAGATATCGATTTTGAATTCAGAGTTCTAATAGCGCGACTACTGTCGAACACCAACCAATTCCACTTATTTTTACCAAAAAATACAAGTGTTTCTAGCTTGCACCTAAAAAATTCAAGCTATAGGAAAATTACAACGACTCGTTAATAAATAAACAAATCAAGTATCACGAGACGTAATTGAATCGTGAAGCTGAACGCATGACGTACCTTTCCCTAGAACTTTAAGTACTGACAAAGGTATTGATTGGGTCGATCGGTCAACTGCGACAAATCTGCTATATCCCCTTCCACGCCTCTTAGCGATGTGCACAGTTTTTAATGTAAAATTTCTTTTTTTCAGTATAAGATCGTTGAACGGGATGATTTTTGAAAACTTGAACTCTTTGGAAACCCTGAATTTGCAGAACAACAAACTGATGCATATTCCGGAAGATGTGATGGAACCAATCTTGGATACACTCCGAGTTGTCGACATAATGGGTAAAAATAGTTTTTATAAGTTTCTTTATACTGGGTGATCCCTTTTTCCGTTGCATCTACATATCAAATTTCTTATTTAAGACTTTCATTCAAAATATGTTTATGTCAGAAGTGCCTGGTCAGAACAGGACACTGACCGTTATCAAGTATATACTGAACTAATTCCTAAAACTATTGAGTTTTTATACTGCTGCCAGGCATTCACCTGTGAAGTAGTTGAGTGTAGTTGACCGTGACTGATAATACCTGCATTCGTGCGTTTCATCAGTGATTGCCATATCATAGATATTTCCGTACTAGGATTGCTAAAGATGTTATGATTGCTTAGATAGGTACTATAATAACGGCTTCTTTAAATTTACGTTTTTTTAAATAAGGTTCCCTGTGGGTAATCCGAGCTTCCGACCACTTTATATTGTGCTCTTTTTAACCAAACATACTTCATTGTTTCACCTTTTTGTACATATTTATATAACTTTAAATAAAACACAAATTACCAACTTTAGTTACACAAAACAACAAAAAGTCAGATGCTGGTACTCCAATTTATCGTTCTCCAACAACTGTACTCAACTAAAGTTGGTAGAAGTATGTTTCATTGCAAAACCCTTTAAGCAGCATCAATAAAATTCAAATACATATATAACGATGAATAAAACACAAATTACCAACTTTAGTTACACAAAACAACAAAAAGGCAACGACCCAGCTACGTTGAAACACCGGTTCCCATTAGAACACCGAAGTTAAGCGACGTAAGGCGATGCTAGTGGATGGACAGGTGACCGGTTCGAAACTCTGTATCGTGCTGTTGTCCAATAAAGTCCACTGCACATTCACGCCGGGTCGAGGCCGGATGAGATCGGATATCTCGTGAGTAAGAGTTGATTTAGACGCTTCCCAAGTCTGTAGGCCATTGACCATGATATGGCCGAGGACCGCGGTTCGGATTCCGCGTAAACAAAGTAGGCCCCGTCTAGATTAGCCCTGGCAGCAAAAACGAGACGTTAACTGAAATCTTTAAACGCAGAAGAACTCACTGTTGCAAGAAACAATCGGCCAATTTTTTTAAAGGGCACTAAAAATCTCATTTTCGAAAAAAACTGTCTAATTGCAATAACAAAGTGAATATCCAAGCAAAGGAGGCTTTACGAGAATCATGATCCTGAACCATTTTTAAGTCCAGTTTTAATCCTAAAACAAAAGTAAAATAGGTATATTAATAGAGTTTCTGGTTACTATAAACCAGCTATAAACTACCTACCCAAAAAATGAAAAAAATTAATTGTATTAATTTGTTATGTTAAGAGAGGTTCGAAATATTTTTGACACTACTACTTCTACTTTTTTCTTAATAAGATGATAAATATAACTACTTACTTTTATTTTACCGGGTGTGTTTAACATATCTATCAAAGAAAGGGGGCACCAATACATATAGATGATACTGGCTCCTGCAGCAAATAAAATAACAAATAGTATAACCTACAATTATAAGTAACAAAATATAAATACATATATGGAACAAAGGAATTTGTTCCCTATCCATATTCATAACTCAATAAAATGGAGAGTTTAGAAAAAAAGGTAAATCACCAAAAGAAAAATTAACAAACATGACGAATTGTCATGATGTTGTCGTCTTGGTTGTCGTGATGACTAAAACGAAAGGGGCGATTGTTCTAATGTCTATTTAGAAATTACGTTTTATATGGCTGCTTCTTTCTCTCTTGTTATATTAGAATGAGATAGTGGGCACAATAGACGCAATGCTCAGATCAACATAAATAAAACGAAATTTTTCGTTCTGAGTTGGGCTACGGGAACGTGGTCCCTCTCTTTGCCATTTAATTTGCCAGTCTCTTTTTATCTGCTTGTCTATGCCGTGGACAAAGTATAGTATTCAACTCGCAATTTATAGCCATTATTCACTCGGGTGACAAACGTAACCCTGCGTGAATAATGGCTAGCATAAATTGCTCGTTCAATAATATACTATTATATGAATATTTCTCATCTTCTTCCTCAGATAATCCACTTCTATGCGACTGCGAGCTGCAGTGGTACAAGAACTGGCTCCGCAACCCCAAGGACAAGGACGATGAGATGATGCAAAAGAAAAGGACAGTCTGTACAATGCAGCACGAGCACAGAGAGTACAGCTTGCAGAGTCTCCCACTGGACAAGATGAAATGCAAAATCAAGTCGTACGAGAATTCAGCGTACAGCGCCGCCACCAGGCAAGCGGGAGTACTAGAAACGTCACTCTTGTTGAGTATATGCGTTCTGATTGGTCAATTGGCGATAGCTAGTTAAAATTTAAAATATAACGGTATATAGAATTAAAATCTAGATGTTTTTATTAGTGGATATATACATTCTATATGTAGAAGGGGTTTTGGTATGGTTTTGGCAGGATATGTGTGATTTTAAATCAGGGAAAGGATTATTTTAGATAAGTTGTATCATTAAGAAAGCAAGAAATATTCTAAATTTAACTATTTTTGTAGATTTTGGATAAAAATAACAAGTAGTGTTGTTCTAGAATCAATTTCCAATTCTAATAAAGGGTTAAAAGGTTAAAATGACAATTATATCTATTCGAAGTTAACTTTAAGTCCTTTCACAAACATTTTAATCTAAAGAATCAAAAATTATTAATATTTTCTAATATTCATTGTTTAGAATATATTTATAACTTTGTATTGCAGTTTTAATACTTAACAAGCGCTTAAAATATCTCACAATCAATTGTCACAGAAATATTAGTTCTTTGCCTGCTATGATGCTTTTTTTATTTTGAAATAGAAATAATATTAAAGTTCTAAACCATAGGAAACAATATAAGTCGTGTTTTAGTTATTAATTTTTTTAAAATCTTTAAAATAAAAAAAACGACGTCGTGATGGGCTTTGAAATGAAAATCGACTATAATATATCATGGAACGATCTCTATATGTTATTTATTAAGATCGGTAATAAAAAAATTGTGAAAAAATTAATGCTAGATTTAAAAGAATATAAAAGATTTCAGAAAAGAACATCTATTTTTCAAAAAAAAAAATACTGAATAGGCGTGAAAATGTTTGGTGTGTCTAAATTTTTTTTTTCTTTTAATTAAGTCCATTTTTAACCAAAGGCATATATAGAGAACGACCCAAGAGAAATGATCAAAAATTGTCGTTTCAAAGGGTACTGTGACGCCTTTTCTTTTTTACCGTATGTTACTGGTATTGCAATAGTTAATTTTTCTTCAAATATTAATATATTAAAGTCCAGAAACGGTTTTAAAATTTTAGAAATAAATAATAAGATAAAGTTTTTAATATTGAAATTCAGAAGCTATAGATATTGCTACAGTCAAAATTATTGTTTCTGTCTTACAAAAATCATTAAATATAATATTTTGACAATCAAAATCATTATTTTAATTGCATTGTTTGTAAGCAACAAGCATACACAGTTTAGATAGGGTTAGTCTACATTTTTGAATTAATGAACTAAAGTCAATATTAAAATAATATTAATTCATATTTTTTCTGAGCATTTTTGCATATTCGAAGGGGCCTAGCTGTAACGAAAATATATCCTTCAAGCCCATATCGAATCTTCAGTATTTAAAAATCGTTAAAAATCATAATTATTAGCTATAGATCAGAATATTTTCGAAAAATCACACAAAATATATCGTTGTTATAGAATTTTTTGCATAATATATCAATAAAAAAAAATAAAGCGCACTCACACTTTTTAGAGCATGTATCGCTTTTTAATAATGTTTCAAATTTTTAGTCGAAAGTGAAATTTTTGTTGTCAACACATTAAAAAATTCATAAAAAACATCAAGCAAGTGATTGTGTCTCAGCAACAAGAATTTCACGAAAAAAACGACTTGAAATATAATTATTCAGCATTTTTAGCATATTATCTTAAGAAACATATTAGAAAAAAAGAAGTCGTGTAGTCATAGTTCTCTATCTTGATGTGTCTAAACTAGTACGTACGATATTTAAAGAAACTATATTTTACTTTAGTTTGAAACTATGTCGCATCCAAAATTTCTATTTTATTTTTAGTTATAAAAATATATAATAATATAGTATATAATATAAAAATTAAATTGTGAAAGGGTACGATACAGGCCTATATACATATCAAATACTATTAAATCCAATCATATCATTACATGTGCCAGTTGTTATCTTTTTTCTTAAAAAAAACACTCTTTAAAGGAGGATACTTTTTTGGAAACAAGACAAACAAGATATGCATGTTTTTTTTTTATATAAAGTATATATAGGCTAGCGAAAAAATATATTAAAATGATGAATTTTGTGAGCTTTGAGAATTCATATCACTAGAATATTAAGAGAAATATATTGATGTTGTATTATGATTATTATTACTATAGTTATTACTAAATGTAGTTAGGTTTAAGAGACACAAAAAAATGTTTGAAGAAATGGTAGCAAATTTTTGGAGAAAAAAAATATGTTATTACTTTTTACACTTTAAAAAAAAAACAGGAAAAAAATCAATAGGAAATAAAATAATAGTTATAATTTGATTTGCTCTACTGGTACCTTAAAAAATATAGAAAAAAAATAGATTAATAACATCATTCAGAAAAAAAACATCAGAGCAATATAGATGATATCTTTTAGTCATATTACGTGTAGCGTCTTAAATTTTGTAGTTTAAGACAAAGATAACATATCATAATACCCCTTTTCTTAGACTGTGTTAAATCGTGAAACATATCCCCAACTAACATAACGTTTAAGACATTTTTGTGGTGCAACTATTGGTAATTATTGGCGATTTAGGCGGTCATACATATTTATAGTATATATAAAGAAAAAAAAAGATAAAAATGACGTCAGCCGGACCATTTCGAGACATATCCGACAGAGGGAGCTGTCCGATGTCGCCGTGGCGTGTAGCCAGCTAAAAAAAAAAGAAAAAATAACCAAATATTTTTCTAAATTTCTAGTGTCAGGTCGTTGGCGGCACGCCACTGCGACCGCCATGGGCGTCCCCCTGTCCAACGTTTTTTACTCATTCTATCTTGAAGGTATTTTCAAAGTGAATATTTAATCACCGTATCTCTTATATATCTATTTCCGTATAGTATCTACATAAATATATTCTCTATTTAAGGAAATAAAGTGGCTGTTTGTGTAATAATTGTCGTATATAACATATTATATCTCTATTTGAATCACTATTATTATTGATGTTTCCGAGAAAATTTATGAGAAAAAAATGTATTATTATATCTATGTGGATGTCAATATCTTGAATAAAGAAATAAAAATACTTGTGCTGACACTAAGTAATGTTTTATTTATTTGAAATCCTTTTTCTAGTGCTCTTTTAATTATTTGTTTTTTATATAAGGTGGTTCGAACTGTATTACGGAAGCATATTCTGCAGATAAAAATAAGTAAAAAAGTTCGTGTAAATGTATGTCCTCAAATGCTTAGTTTCGGAGATACAGGGTGTAGAAATTACATTTTTATTTCGATTTTTTCCCAAATACCCAAGTAGCATTTGGACGTTATCTAACGTCGGGTATACGTCGCGTCCAATAAACACGACGTCGGGTACCAACGTCGGTTCGACCGCCTGACGACCCTTATTTGCACCTAAATGGGGAATACAGATTCGGGTCGCCTCGACGTCGGTATCTGACCTAATAGGGAATGTAATTCTACCAATTACCAACGACATATTACGTTGGATTTTAGTCATTTAAAATTTGTCGCTGAGCACTTACGTTACGTTTGGTTTCATATTCGCTACCAAGAATACATAAAAACCTAACCAAACTACCTAATTACAAATGGATTCATAATCACTCCTCGAATAGAACTATAAGTGCCTACCTAATTTCATATTATATTAATTCTGAATCATTAATCCAGACATCAGTTTTGTCAACGGAAGTCACTTTTTTGATATACCTGATTAAAATACTCCGGAAAACAACGAGCGCCTTCAAAAGTAGGTAGATTTATGAAATAAAAATATCTATAAAAAAGTAACTCGCAAAATATTTTTTTTTTATTTTCTAGCTGGTTTAATCATAAAACTGTACTGTGGTTCCCCCCAAACTCAACCTTATCAATATTATTCTACTAGAAATCGGAATGTGAATATAAATTTTAAAAACAAAAAACGATTTTAAAATGGCTGACAATCGGATACTTGTTAAGAATGGCGGATTCCTGTATCCGACTTAATATGAACTACCAATATACCAATCCCGACCGGGTCTCCAACATTAGTCGTCTCACACGACCGAAGTCATCAAACCGGACGACCGGCAATCGTATTATGACGTATATAATTCCAACGTACGCCACGTAACCTCACTTTGCGTATCAGTGATTTGTGGATTTGTGCAACTATATTTTAGTTTTTTGTTTTCTCCACTTAAAAAAATGGGCAATACACTTTTTTAAGATAGTATATATACAAAATTTAAAAGAATTGGAACCAGTACCTCACATGTGGGAGGAGGATGGGGTCTGCTGGTTTCCTAAGCTAAAAAATGAAATTAAGATGCACCAGTGTAATGCAGCATCTCTTCCGGATAAAAAGCATTCGTGGGTGGAGGCAAGACATCACTACTACTATTATTATTTTATTTATTAGCTTTCTGTAAAATGTAGATGAATGTCTAAATGCCCTTTTAGTGTTTTTTTAGGCATAATAAAAAAATTAAGTTTGTTTACAAAAACTTTTTATTAGGTTATGTTCATGATGTTCATTAGGCCGCAAATGCTACTTAATGGGTTGTATTTACGGACGTAAACAGAGATACGTAAATTAGGTTATAAATATGAACATAAAATACAACAAAATATAATTGGACGTTACTTTAGGGATTATCAGTGGGACGTATCCTATTCGGACAACGGGTAGACGTCGGGTTAGTTCAAGTATATGTACGCCGTGCGAGCCAACGTGGGAACGACTTGGGAAATTAATAAAAATGGTACGTTGTTATTTTGTACGTCGACAGATCGTTGGATTTACCGACTCGGGTCCAACGATGTCGCTTTTAATAGGAAAGCGACGTCACCGGTCGTATCACCAGCACCCGACCTAAATTTGCACAAAGTCTGACGTCGCTTCAGGTCAGATTTAGTTCGAAGTCAGATAGATGCTATTTGGGTAGTTTCTGAAGTAACGTCAATATTTGGATGAAAATTGGTGTCTAGGAGTTTTTTGACATGTGAAATTTGATTTTGATGTCAATATGTCTCTTATTTGTAGGAGGCACCACCTATATGTGTTTTAACTGTTTTGAAGAGTAATAACTTTTCGTTCGTACCTGTATAAAACTACTGAGTGAAAAAATATATATTTTCCTGATTTTTACGTAAAAATGTCTCTTGTGGTACAAAATCGCCACGAATTTCATGTTTCAATCTAATATTTAGATGTTTGAAATGTCAATTTATGTCATTATTGATAAAAAATCGAAACATATATCTAAGTAGATGGTTATATGGTGAAATGATACCGAGAAACCTTTTTTTTTTTTAAATTAGCGTATACCCGTCCGCCGCACTAAGGGGTATTTAACCCAAAAAGTTGGCCAATATTCAAAAATATAAATTCAAGATATCAACCAACCGATACTAGGAATTATTTGTATAAACATGAATGTATTCGAGGGTGGGTGGTAGGGGTCAATGTCCCCCCGTGTTACAATCCGCGCCAATCACAAATTGTTCTTCGAATAGACGAGCTGTGTATCGCTGTGCTTTTACAAAATTTACTTAACAATAATTATCTTAGTTTTTCTTACTAATCGCGATCTTTTATTGATCTTATATTAGTTTGGAGTATAATATGGAGTATTACTCTTTAGTATAACTGTTATTTTGTAGTTAGGAGAATATTAATCTGCTAGTTCAATAATAGACATATTATTTCGTTTATAACAGAATGTTTATGTAAACTTTCAGTATGTAATCGAACCTTATCAAGTATATAAATCTGGCTAGTTTTGTAGCTTAAGTATTCCTTTAGAAGACCATGATAAGAAATATTTTGCTAATTTTTGCGAGTTTGGCAGTTACAATTTTTTTTAATCGAATAAAAATGTAGTGTTTTTCACTTTCAACACCCTGTATCTTAGAAATAATGCATTTCTGGACCTATGTTTATGGGAACATTTCTCCATAAAATGACCTGAGGAATCACTCCCTCGAGTATTGACATGTTATTGTCAATACTCGAGGGAGTCTCGACTTAATCTTGTCAATAAAAAAACGCTAGGTATTAGCGATGGGAACTATCGATTGAATTAGACTATCGAATGGTTACTGAATGAATGATTTCAACTATCGAATGGTTTTATTCGAATAAAATCATTCATTCATTTGTATACTAAAGCATATGTGACAACCTCGCCGTGCGGCTAAATGGTTATCGTTGAGCCACGACTATCGAATGTTTTTGATAAATGAAATTTAGTATTCGTTTGATTTTTGTGTGCGTCAGTGCATTATTAGTTCTTCCAAATTTTTATAACTTCGCCTTATAAATACTGTGCTATTTTTGCGTTTATTAAAATATTTAAAATACTAAAATAGTAGTTTTTTTAATTGACGATTGTGTGCGTGTGCAGGTGGTCAAAATTTTTCCGAAAGTTTGTGTGATTTTCCGTAGCCCGATCTTTCAATTATTTAATTTTATATGGTATATGGTCTATTTTTTAATGGGAAATTTTGAGAAGTAGCAATTTTTAAGAGAGATGAGATGAACTTACAATTAATTTTAAAAATACATATTTGTATTTTAGATGTTTTAATAATATGAATTAGTTGAACTTAATAATTATATTAATTAATGTGGTTAAGTAAATGGTTATCGAACTCAGACTATGGGGTGAGAAAATTAAATTAAAAGTTTTACACGTGCCAATTTAAAAAAAAGTTAACGATGTTTGTATTTTGTTTATGCTAATTCTCTTACATGTAGTTTTTTGCGAAGAAATATTTCATTTATTTTTTAGTAAGTAAATACCAGTAAAAGTAAATATTATTATTATTAAATAGTAATATAAAGTACCGAATATAAATAATTTTGATTTCTAATTTTTATTTATATTTTCCTTGCATTACACTGCACGCTTAGAAAATTAATAAATGTTTATATTTCATGATTTTAAAATTTGTTGTTAATATAACAAATTAGTTCTGTAATTATTATTATTTAATAAACCAACGTTGCCACAAAAAATTGAGAGACTATATTATTTTTAAATAGGATCTAATATAAATAATTTTGACATCAAATTTGTTGTTTATATTTTGCTACTACTTAAAAAAAATGTTTATATTAAATGATTTCAAATTTTGTTGTTAATAGGTATAACAAATTATTACTGTTATTATTATTTATTAAACCAGTCTTTGCTTAAACACATTAAAAATAATTTTCCTGTATCCAAAATAACAAGTATTATTGCAGTGTAACAACAGAATATTAATAAAAAAATATAAAATATATAGACATACTATCCCTAACTAACTAAAGCCAAACAATAATATTCTTTGCTAATATCAATTAATACAGAGACTAATACCAATATATGGCAACAGCGCCCTTCATAATGTATTTTCTGTGTAAATACTAGCACCTCAAGAAAAAAAAATAATGTGTCCTTATCTTTATCTGACTCCACAAAAAATCAAAGATGCCGGCTTCTTTCATAGCATTGCCACCGACCGGGTTTTTCGGAAAGAAACCTACGTCGCCGGGCGACAACTAAAATCCAGTTAATATTTGATTATAATCGATCCTGACGAATAAATGAATTTTCTAAATGAATGAATTTTATAAATGAATGGTTTTTGCTGCCGAATTACTAGAATACAATATTTCAAGGCAGATGACGCATCTATTCGATAATTTTTATTCGAATAGTTTTCAACGAATGTTTTTTTACTAGCTATCGAATTATTCGAATGAATTGCAACTATCGAATGTTTCGATAGTATTCATTCGATAGTTCCCACTACTACTAGGTATGTATTAAAATTTGAAGCAATTTTTTTTATTTTCTCACGTTTTAAAAGGCGGAAGAATGCAAAAAAAAATAAAAATATTATTGGCCAGATTTTGAGGTAAAATACCCCATAAGTGCGCCGGATAAAAAGCAGGCGAAAAAATGCGATAAAATAAAAATAGGTAGATATGTGATAAGAATGTTTCATAATTTGTATTTATTCGTGTTTTAATAGCCAAAAGGAATACATAGATTCTCGCGACAGTTCTCGTGTAAAATTTATTTTTTAAGTAAAATAATGGATGTTTACGAAGTTCGTGAGAAAATTCAAATTGTAAAATGGTATTTCCAAAATAGGTCTTATCGGGATATACAAACAATTTTTCCATAAACTTTTGTAAACAGGCCAATTCTATCTTTACCTACTATATCAAGAGTTATTAATAATTTTGAAACACATGGGTGCGTGTCCCCACAAAAACACAAGAAGCCAATTGTTGTTGATTAATGAAGAACAAGAGTTAAAGCAAGTGTTTAACCGTTTAATTAGTGGATATAGAACTATTTTGTGGCCCGCTAGATCACCAGATCTTTCTCCCAAATAATTTCTTTTTATGGGGTTATGTAAAACCCAAAGTGTATGGTCATAATAGAGCTAATAATCTGAATGAGCTTCCAGTAAAAATACAAGAGCCTTTCCAAACTATTAGCCAATGTCAGACGGGGATTTTACGACCGCCTAGGCTTCTGTCTAGCACAAGATGGTGGTCTTTTTCAACACTTGTTATAACTTTTTTTTATTTAGAGTAATATTTTAGTTTTTTTTGGGTTTAGAGAATTTATTTATTTTTAGTTTTGGCTTGTAAACACACTCAAATAATAAAGATTTAAGTATTTTTATTTTGAATGTTACCTTAAGTAAAGGTAAACACTTAAAATGAAAATAATAAATACTCGGCACTCCTCGCGTCGTATTCCTAGTCTGTCACGACCGACCCGTCCAAGCACAACTGCAACTGCGTACTGCCTGACTAGCCGACTAGCCGGCAGTGAATTTCGAGTACGAACGCAAATTGGGTAAACGTGAATTCGTCCGGCAACTTGCTATGTTACTAGTAGCCTGGGCTTCTCTGTATATGTGTGTAGTAATATTTTTTCCATAGATATCACAAATTTGAAGTACTTTTTTCTAATATTTTTGATAATAAAAATGATACAAGACTTTGTATATTCAAGAACATTTATTTCTGATTAATATAAGTTCTTCTTGATAATAAGTACCAAAAATATAGGAACTATTATTATATGTACTATCGGAAAATTTAAAAATAATGTATATTATTACAAAAATAGATATTTTTATTTCTTTGTCATAGTCTTCATAACTCCATTAGTTTAGATTCTAACCAATCATCATAGCTTTGAATTCTGAAACAAACAAGAAGCTATTTCATAAATTGGAACAAGCATCAAATAGTATATTTCACACAAACAACAACAAAATAATTAAAAAAATTAATGAAAATAACTAAATAATAAAATAATTAATTAAAGTTAATATACAATGATCAATAGATGTAGAATCTGTTTACCTTCCCAATCTACAGTTCCTGAGTTGTCAGTGTCAATTTCCTTGATCATTTCATTCAAATCAGCAGGAGTAAGCTTATCGTCTAATTCTTTCAATATGTCTCTTAGCAAATCCACTGATATGTAACCTAAACCTAGAGAAAATACAGGAAAATTAGTAATAATCTATCCTCCCAAAATCTACTACTATTAGCCAACCTGTATTTTTATTTAGTTTTTTTATAAGTTACCTTCTTTATCGTACAACCTGAACGCGTCTTTCAACTCCCTAAGAATAGCTTCAACATCTTCTTCCTCTTCAACTAAGAATCTAGCTGCCAGATGAGCAAACTCTTCAAAACTCATCACTCCATTGCCGTCTTCATCAATTTCTTTAATAATTTTCTGAAACATAAATAAAAATTTGTAAAAAGATTTACAGGAAAAGTTTTTTTTTCTCTTACACTGAGCTCTTCAGGTGTTTGTTGATGCCCTAACATATCTAGAATTTGTCCAATCATGTCAACGTTAATTTCACCCTTCTTGTCAACATCAAAAGAGTCGAAGATTTGTTTCAACACTATGAAACAAATATTATTAAAAAAATTTTGCTATACATATAATACGTCTTATTATATTTTTTTCCATAGCAAATGTTAAAATTGCCTTCTATCTATCAAAAATAGTAGATAAAATAGTACTTTAACCGCAAAGCTACATTAAATGATACTTTAACAGCGAGGATATGGCGTTTGTCGCCTCAGCTTTTTGTATATTGTATTTATTATGTTTTTATCAAATTATATAGAAACCAACGCCAACACAGCACAATATTGTTTTACTCGTAATAAATTCCTTGAAATAATAATTTCTGAATATTTTTTAAAACGTAACTCGCTATGGAAAAAATATTGTTTTACGACGATAAAATTGCATTATCGTCTTCCGAAATTAATTCACTTGCGATTTCATCGGTCGTGAATTAATCTTTTCGGTCGATATATTGTTTAAAAAAATAACTATTATTAGTGACCTTTTGAATTTTCATATTTTTTTAATGGATACTAAGATAATAAAATATTTGTATTTTTTGCTAAAATATGTAGTATATTGCTTTTCTTTGCAAAATTAAATGAACAGACTTTACTTACTTTTGAGTTGATCTTTTGCTATGTCTAAGTGTTTTAGTGCCTCATAATCCAGGACGACTTCCTAAATAGTTGGTATATTAATAGGAAAAATCATATTTTAATTTGTTATTTTATACTTACAACTTTGTCAGCCTAAAAGAACAAAGAAATATTATTATAGATTTGCAATTTGAAAATAAAATATTTGTATTTCGGTCTATACAGGGTGAATCTTAAATAAGTGCACATGTCTTTGGGTTTATTTTTTCGTGAAAAAAAATGAAAATTTTTCGATTTTTTTGGAAATGTTTTTAATTTTCAGTTGAAAACATACTATCTTGATAATATGGCAACATAGGTAGGTATAAATTATATTTTAGAGGAACCAAAAATAAAGAAAAAAATCCAGTGGTTCCCAAAATTTAAGCAAAAAAAAATTTATTTTTCAAAGTAAAATAATTAAGAGAAATTATGTTTGGTTTTGATATTAAAAATATTAATATCATTTTGGTAATGGAGAATAAATTTATTCGAAATTTTTCAAATATTTAATTAAATTTTTCTAAATATTTATTTGTTTAAATTCAATAAATTCAATTTTTTTAATTAAATATTAACCTCCAAAAATTATTTAAAAAAATCCTATTTAGCACCATATATTTCAGAATTTTTTTTTTAATAAAATACACCGTATTTATTATATTTAAATTTTTAATATTTTAAGAGAAAAAATATCTACAGCAAATACTTCTCTCATATTAATATTTTTATTTTTTGTTGTTGAAATATTTACTCACCATTTTGTCAAGAAAACTTCTTTAGAAAATTAATAACTTAACAAATCGATAGATAAAGGTAACTGAATGTTTGTTTACGTTATACAAGTATATATAAAAGGATTAATCAATATCGTCATACAGAGGTTAGATCTGCATACGTGTCTACATATTTATTTATAAATAGCGTCCATTTGGCTTTAAAGATAATTTTAACACCTTGCCAAGGTGGAAATCGACTGTATGAATTGTTTAAAGTACAATGATTGACAAACATATTTTACTATTTATATAGCGTACTGTTTGTTATTGATATTGCTATAATCTTATACGTTTCTTAATTGTATTTGTCTTTAGGAGAAATAGTTTATAAATTTGTATTAATAATACAATATGATCGAAAAGAACCGGCGCCAGCGATGGCTATGAAATGAAGATCGCTGTTATTTTTTATGTAAAATTATATGGGGAATGTCATCGATCGTTATTTTTAAGCCAACTTGACGCCGTTTTTTTTCGATCATACGATATTCAATCGTATAATTTAATCGATTATTATTGATTTTGAACATTTTTTTTATTTATTTAAAGAAAATGAGAAAAAGTTATTTTGACATATTTTTTTATTTTCTTGGTCAACTGTCATGAAAATTAATAACAAAAATTGTCTTTAAACATTGTAAAGTATTGTTATATTAAACCAAAAAATATTATACAAAAATAATTGAACAATAAAAATGTTCAATGATCATTTCTTGGAAGTTTTTTAAAAGTAATGTTTAAAAACTTTTCTTGAAAGAAAATTTACTGCATAAAAATCTCCTCAATAGTGCCAATAAGCGAGGAACAACAAGGATTCCGAAGAAACCGATCAACTACCGATGCACTATTCATACTCAGGCAACTAGTTGAAAAATTCTTAGAATATAACTCTCCAGCCTATCTATGTTTTATAGATTTAACAAAGGCCTTTGATAGAGTCCAACTAAAAGACACCATCACCATCTTGGAAAGCAGTAATGTCTCGAAAGAACTCACATAACTTATCAAGGACTTAAACACAAACACAACAATCCAAATAAGAACAAACTTTACCTTAAAGCAGCATCTTCGAACTACTGGTATTCGCCAAGGCGACAGTCTCAGCCCTCTGTTATTCAACACAATCATGGATCAAGTAATAAAAACCGTCAAGAATACTGGATTAGGATATCGAATGGGAATGCATAAAGTGAACATATTATGCTATGCCGATGACGCAGTACTTATTGCAGAGTCAGAGGACGACCTCCAAAGAATGCTACAAGCTTTTAACAGACAGGCAGAAAAACTTAACATGCAAATTTCCACAAATAACACCAAATGCATGACCATCACAAAGGAGCCTCTACGGTGCAAATTGGTAATAAAAAAAACTATTGATCAGATAATGTAATTCGATTACCTCGGATGCAAAATTACAAGCTCAGGATTCCTGGAAGAAGAAGTAAGGAAACAAGCCAATAAAGCTGCCGCAATATCAGGACATCTCTCGAATTATTTTTATTAAGTTTGATTTTTTATATTTTTTCTTTAAGCCTTCTACAGAATAAAATAAAGATTCAATCAAATCTAAAAATAAAACACTGACTAAAATTTTCATGTATTCTAAATTTGAATATATTTTGTTCTAGTGGGTCGATTTTGATAGTTTTTTAAGCAATTTGCAGCTAAATTGTTTGACTTTTTAGCCTCTGTTTCAGTTTTTAACAGCGACAAGCAAAAAGTAAAGAGGCAACAAAGCAATGAGATTTTTGAATGTCCGGAGTGCGGAAGAGAGATAACATCACGTATCGGGCTTTTCAATCACAGAAAAGGTCATGAAAGAAAACGCCTTGCGTAACCATCTTCCGGTGCGTGTCAAATACTCGTCAGCGAGTAATGGGAGGAGTAGTATTATAATCAACACCATCTATGAAATAATTTTTATTTTTCTAATGTTGCTGTAATTGAAAAGTTACATTATAATTGTTTTTGGTCAGTTACTCTACAAAAATGGTGACTAAATATATATATTTCTCGTAATTAGTAGTATTAAATCGCTGTTTTTTCAAAAAAAACTTCTCCATTAGTGGCCCCAGAAGTCTTTTATGAAAAAAGTTAATTTTTAGTTTTAATCATTTAGTTATTTTTACTTTTTAAAAAAAAAGTTACTTTCCTTTTTAATTTCCACTAAAAAATTATTTAACAAAAAAAAACTGAGCTTTCTTTTTATAATTAAATTAATTTATTTTTTGTACTTACAGGAGCTTTAGATTTCTTTGGCTGCAACAAAATAAAAATTAGCAAAACAACAAATTAAAATTCAAATACAATAGTAATCCTAACCTCTTCAGCCATTTTTTCAATAGACTTAGAAACAAAACCTGACCAAAAATTACAGCAACAAAATAGAACTAAACAAATAAATATGTGAAGAGGTTTTATATATAAAAAAAGTTTCATAAATCAATCAACACCTTTACATTTAACTGTAATGCATTGGTGCAAGCGTTGTAATCGCACATGTTTAATTGTCATTTATAAATAGATTTTAAACTATAATACTTAGATAATTTGTTTTATTTTATTTATTTTTTTATGCTTTTATCAAGTTAAACTTTCTTATATACGTTAAACTTACTTACATATTGTGACGACTATTCTGTCGTTACCCAAATAGAATGAAAAAAGAATCCGTTTCTCAGGGTTAGAGGAAAGCTGGGTTCGTAGGTAAGGCTTCTGACTCACAGTGACTTTCTAATGTTGTTAAATATTAAAATAAAAAATGATAATATATAGGCTGCAGAGATTTTAATATTGATGTTAAGAATTCAAATAGGTATGGTCAAAGACAGTGAAAAGGGCGCCACTTACTTTGTTTATGAGAGTGGTAAAGTAAGAAACCAAAAAGAAAAAAATACGATATCACAACATAGCTAAAATAAAGTAATCAACAACATTAAGGGTCTATTATGTTTATCAGGAATAAAAGTCAGAAATAACTATCCTACATTAAACATTTATTGAAAACGAACACAAGAATCATCAATTAGTCACAATGATCCCAATAAAACCGCAAGTTATTTTAAATAGATTCAAATTTAGTAACTGTATTCTTTGAACTAAGTAAGCTACTTAATATAAAAACAGGTGAAATTTATGTATGTCTCAATACGATGATGTTTCGAAACATGTCGTGTACAAAAACCTTTAAAATGAATACGTGTTAATAATTTTCATATAAAATATCATAGCTAAGAGTGTACTGTACGAATCAAATTATAACTTATAACGTTAAATAAAAAATAATTTTGACTACAATATGTGGGATAAATAGTGATAATTTACCAGGTTATTAAATCTGATGTCTCAATAATTATAAAATAAAAGCGTACCTTGTGTATCAAACTTAAGACTTATCTGTATATAGTTTCTTATGATGTAAACAGGTAAGTAGGTATTCTCCAGACTAACACAAGTGGATGCAGATGACTATGGCAGGAGAAGTCTTCGATATCAGCCAAAAGAACGATTGTAATGTCAGGAACACTGTCTTAAAGTCATGTGGTAATTACTGAGTACCAGGTGGTAGTTACTGAGTACCATGTGGTAGTTACTTAGTATCATGTGGTGCTTTTACTGGTCTGAAAATCAGCTTTACATAAATATATTCAAACCATATGCCGATCCAAACCAGTAATTAAATACTCAAATAAACGAAGTAAAAAACGGAAATAAGGTGATCATTCCAAGAAGAAACCAAACAAATACGATCTATACTCTGAATTGCATACTTTACAAGGTTTTCAAATCTCCAAATCGGATACCCATGCAATCGAAATCGAAAAGTGGATTCAGAGTGCTTTTCACTGGAAAATTTGTCGGACGCCGAAACGCGTCTTCTTCAGATCCAAATTCCCAGAAAAAAAAGACCTTCTTCTCCGTTTCAGAAACGAAAACAAAAAAACCCTTTTCACCAGACAAGTGAAATGCAATTAAAGAAGTTTGGCATATAGCGAATAGATGGCGCTAATAAACAAGACAAGTAAACTGTAAGAAATGAAGTTTGACATCTAGCGAATAGATGCGCTAATAAAAATTAAATATCGAAACAAGTGACCTGTAACAAATGGAGTTTGGTATCTTTGGCATCTAGCAAATAGATGGCGCCAATACTAAGAAATTTAAATAAAAATAGAATTTTAAATTCAATTTTATTAAAGGAAATAAAAAATGCTACAATATTCATATTTAAAACGATACTTTATCTAAAGAAGAAGACATTATACCAATGTGTACTACCAGTCATGACCTATGCTGTAACAGATTATTTCCTTTACATTCAAGTCGATGTTTTCGGTAGTTAGTTTCGGGAGAGGGTCTTTTTAACAGGAAGTAATAAAACAAACATCTTTCAAACGTGAATATTTTTAAATTCCCAAGCTTATAGAAGGACAAAGCAAATAAACTTTAGAACTAAGAAGTAAACAGAAAAATTGTAAAGATAGACCTTAGATAAAAACGTTGGGACGTTGTAAAACCAATAACCACCCTTGATAACATGTTTAACTATCGCCGGATGTTTGTAAAGGATCTGGGAACTTTAGAAAAGCTCGTAGCTAGATGTAAATAGTGCCAAATGAGGATTAAATATGTAAAAAAAATAATAGTACTGCCATCTAACAACGGGAGGTTGAACCAACTTGGTTTGACGGGCGGTGTCAAGCTGACCAATCAAACAAAGAACAGTACCTTCAGGGATGACCTTATGGGCTAAGTACCGAATGCACCACCCTTCAACCCTGTAATGTTGGAACCTCGGGGCTGTTTCTAGGCAGAAAATTTTGTTCGGTTTGAGTTTCTAAAAGAGACGGTTCTCCCTCGGGTTCGCGAGACTCGGTAAAGTTCACGATGTGACCCCCTGTAGTTTTTAAGTCTGGTGTCTGCTAATAGTTGTGGTTCTTTAAGTCCTTTTGTCAAATATTCTTAATTTCTGTTTTATTATCCTTCTTTAAAATTATTTTAATGTGTAAGATCTAGTAATGAAAGGTTCAATTGATTATGTAATTATTATATTTCTCAATAAAAGCAGACACCGGACAATTTTCTTGTATTTTTCCATCTCTTTTCTATTTTTAGTAGTAACTTCGATCACATAATATTTTTTTGTTGTTCTTTATTTTTTAGTATTGAAAATACTTCTGGCCGCGTTTATATGGGACCCATCTTTGAAAAAACGACATGCTAGAGGCAATATGAGTTCAATAACCTGCCTAATCAACTTGTCAACACGTAAGTCGATCGCAAGGCCGTTCGAGGGCCGAAATGAGGTCTTATTAGTGTGTGTGGGCCAACTATTTTATGGATATGGATGTTTAGTCTGGGAAAAGCCATTATTATTATAAAAAGAATATGCGTCATGGGTTGTTAGGTACAGTTGGGTTGGGCTTTTAATCTAACTCTTTCCGTAGAGAATCAAGAGAGGGCAAATTATACGTGAAAGAGCGGAATAACATAAATAATAAATTTAGACTAATGCAATATTTTTCTTGGCGCGTAGGATAATGCGTACAATCGATGCATTAAAGGGAATATTAATTAAATCATTAAGTTCCAAAACATATAATAACTCGGGTCTCATCGGATCTGCTGATACATTTTGATAAAATCCTTGTATATTATTATAAACAAGGATAAAATTTAGGCTATTAGGACCTATATTTTTTTTTATATGATTATTATTTTTTTAATTAACAACTTAGGACAAAGAAAAAGCTTGCATGGTTTCCACCGCCAACAGGCGTAAAAACAAATGAATCCAAGGCGGTGCCAAATATTTTTTATCGGGATAAGTTTTTATCGTTTGAATATTGTTGTAAATAATTATCATTTAATTAGTGCTAACTTATCAAAGTTCACAACACGGCGAAATTTCAACAAAATCGGCCAACGGATCTTTGAGATATTAATAAAAAAGGCCTATTAGAAAACACATTGACATCTTTAAAATTATACATTTCCGGACACATGTTTATATGAACTTTTTACCTTAAAAACACTCAAAAAATCATCTCCTGAAGTTTGGCCAGATACTTAATTAACACCCTGTATTTAAAAATGGCTGGCTAGTGATTTAGTAAGCTATGTTTATTTTAATAGGAAAAAAATACATTTCATAAAAAATAAACAAACCCATAATACAAATACTATACACCAATTAATTAATTAATTTTAAATGTATCTAAATAGGCACTTTAATAATTGAAAAATGAAAAATGAACAGGAGCACTTCTTAAAATCACTTCATAGAGTATACAAAATATGCTAAAAATAATAATTCCAATAAAAAACATAAATGGCACATTAAAATCTGCATTATCTGAAATCAAACTATAGCTAAACGGGTAATACAATAATAGAGACAAGACGCCGACATCTATAACGCGATGAGCAGTTTTTAATAATTATTCCGAGTTATTATTACATACTTATTGTTTTACAATTTATTGTAATGATGGTTATGGCATTCCTTCAAATAAATTTTGATTTAAGTATTGTTAATATAGTCATATTAATGATTATAGCCCGTATGATTTTCAAAATAAATAATCAAGAGTGTTTTTATCAGAATTATTAAATGATTAAGTCAGTAGCGTAACTTCAAATGTGAGGCCCCCCCGCAAAATTTTTTTGGTGCCCTTATATTAAAATAAAAAAAACACACTAAAAACATAATATAGCTTTATGTACGTATATCAAGTCATTTAAAATATAAAAACAAAAAAAAACTTATAGACTAGAAAAAATAATAACTAGAACTAGAAAAAATAATAATAAAAGAACATAAAAAATAAAACATTAAAAAATAAATCAACACAATATTTTTGGAAATTGTAGGGGACGCTGTTCACATATATATGTATTTAGTAAACAAAATCACGAGGCCCCATTGCGGGTGCTGCGGGGCCTACGCTACGCTACTGGATTAAGTAGAAATAGTTAATATTTAGAAACTTCGTAAGTGTTATATTTTAGTATAATTATGGATTTAATAATTAAATAATTATCTTAAGTTTAAATTGTGGTAAACTTGAGTTTCAATCATTTATATTTAAAATCTTAGGAAAGGCAATATAGATTTTAGGCAGGAGAACTCAAGGGAAGGACTGTGTAATTAGTAATTAAGACTTTACAAGTTTTTTTACTTGCCATTTTTCTTGTCGTTCACGTTGCACGTTGACTCTTCGTTGTGTCACACACAATCTGAATTTCGGATATGATGCAGAGCTGATAATATTAAATAGGCTTAATGGGGGAACTGATAATATTAAATAGCAAATATATCAATTGCAAGGTATTCAAAGAAATATTTTTGTTAACTTTGCAAACATTTAAAGCATGCAATAATTAAAAAAAACTGTGAAAAATTGACGTGAGATTACTTTATAATTCTTGGAAGTCTTGGATCATAAAGATTTGAATTATTGTGGGTCTGTTTTGTTTAAGAAATAATAATTATAAAATAATAATTTCAAAAACTCAACTATCAAAATATAATGGTAGCAAATTTTCATGCATAGATATCATGCATAGGTATAATGTTCTATATTAATTGGACATACTGAAGGTAAACTAGGTATAGTTCCTGCAATCGATAATATATTTTATTGCTTTTTCATATCACACAACATTTTCATCATAACAAAAAACCGTCAATACCGCTACTCATATTATGGGCACCTATGTATATTTGTGGTTGTGACGGTTTTTTATTAGGTATGATGAAAAGAAGTTGCAAACTAAATTATCGTGGAACTATATTTTAATTTATTTTTATCTACAGTAACTATTACTTATTTTTTGTACGGCGAATTTAACCGTAAGTTCGAATATTGGTTAAACCTAGAAATACCTAGGTAATAGCCCAAAATATGCAAAAGGGGGAGTGAGTTTAGGTTAGATTAGAATTAGGTTTTAGTTGGTTTTGCATTAATAAAAAAATATAGGCCTAATCTATACTTAACCTAAACTGACATTTTTTGCATATTTCGGGCTCCTACGTGGGTAACCCTACGTTTAACCAATATTCGGGCTTTTACGGTAACATAATACTCATTCTGATTGGTTTAATCTGGCTCCATAATGAAACTGTGGGTTCCAGGTGCTATTGCAAATTAATGCCATTAATTCTATGTATATACATACCTCACATTTCTATAGTGTAGTGACCGTGATCGTGACCATTCATGAATCCGCACACGTCCATCTCCATCATTAATATTTTTTTTTAATAAATTGTTCACTTTTATAAAAAGCCATCACGATAAAAATCAAATATCAAAATTATTTAACGTTGTGAACGGTTCACTTGTTCACTATACGTATCTCGAATATACCCTACTGGCAAACAAAACCTTAGGTCGGCGTTTACATGTATAGGAGTGAATCGCTAATCTACTAAGTCGGAGAGAGCCAAAATACGAAATATTTGTAATATAATCACTTTTAATCGACGCTAGATCCATGCGCTTGGGAAAATACTTTGCCTTGTGTCTTTATTCAGTACATCTTATTTTACGTTTCGGTACACACGAAAATCGGCACCCAAGACCAGTAATGCCGACCCCAGTATTTGCGAATGGCAATTAGCGATACGTTAGACCAGAATGCTGACGTCACGAATGTCAAATTGCTTTCCAAACAAGGTTTTTAGTTCTTTCATATTTCTATTGAGCTCTTCCAAATGACGTCACAGGTTAATATAAAATGTAAAAAACAGATGATTGCCGACCACCGCCGACTTTTGTGTCTGGTATTTTCAATACGCCTATGATGGTTGTGCATGTTGCAAAATCTGTGAATTTTTTAATATTAAATTTAAATGTTTTCCTACAAACTCGGCCGTTTTATTTCTATAGTAAAAATAACTAAGTGTTAACGGTTGAAAAAGCTGAAAATGATGATGATGATATGAATTTCAAGAAACTAAAAAATATATTTTCACAATAAAATAAAGATTATAAGCATTTAGCAAGTATATTTTTATTTACAAATAAAAATAAAACTACTTGTCACAGATTTTATTTTGTTTTTATTTTATTTGTCTTTTCTGGTCTTGTTGCATATACGTAAAAATTACAAAATGGGATAGAGTATATTACCTAAGTTTTCAAAGTATAATCATTTGTTTATAAAAAATCATTTATTATCACATTAAGAAGCGACTAATATTATCATAATATATAATATAAAGTTAAATATTGGAGAAAAATGAGTCCTCTGTATTATATTGATTTAACCAATCATGACAGCTTTAAATTCTGAAATTATCAAAAAATTAATAAAATATTTATATTTCCTGTACTTAAAGAATTTTACCTTCCCAATCAACGGTTCCAGATCCATCAGTATCAATCTCTTCAATCATATTATCCAGATCAGTTTCACTTAAATTTTCATCAAGTTCCCTTAGAATTTCTCTGAGGACTTCAATTGTTATGAAACCATTACCTGACACAAAAATATATAAGTAATATTATTAACAATAGTACAGTTCAATATGTTTCTATTTTTATATAAGTCTTTCAAAAAGTAACATTTTAATAAACCAGTTTTTTTATGCTTAACTAGCGTGTAACTTAACTAGCGAATTAATCATTTGTAATGGTGATGAAAAAGCAAAGCAAGAATTTCCATTAACATACAAACTGTATAAAATTTTCTCATATTTATGTCAGCATGAGAAAAACAATATGGCGATATTATTATATAACTTGGTAATATTTGAGGGGTAGTTTCATCTCGTTGGAATTTGACTTTCGAAAAATCCGTTTGCCAAAAATAAGCTTTTTACGTCAAGCAGTTTAAGCAGAATCGTGGTTAAGAAATTACTCAACTTTTGGAACACCCTATAGGATTTTTTAAAAAATTTCAAAATATGCAAAAAAAACAAATAAATTATGCTTGTCCAAGCGTTTTCCCGAAAGATTAACCGTTTTTTAAATAACAAATATTGTAATATTTGAGGGGCGTTTTCACCCTCTTCGAATTTGAGATTCGAGAAACCCCTCCTTATCGAACCTCTACACCCCACAGTCAATCCGTTTACCAAAAATCAGCTTTAATTGTCATATTTTATGAAATACCCTGTATAAATTTATAAAAAATCTTAAAATATGTAAAACAACAAAATAAAATATACTTGTTTAAGAGTTTTTCCGAAAAACTCACCGGTTTTTAAATAAAAAATATTTTAATATTTGAGGGATAGTTTCACCCCCTTAGAATTCGAGTTTCGAAAAATCCTTTCTTATCGAACCTCTATACCCTAAAGTCAATCTGTTTTCCAAAAATCAGCTTTTTGCGTCAAGCGCTTTAAGCAGGATCGTGATTAATCAATGGCTAGATTTTTCGAAACACCCTGTATACATTTTTAAGAAATCCTAAAATATGTAAAAAAACAAAATAAAATATACGTGTGTAAGCGTTTTTTTCGGAAATTTGACCGTTTTTTAAATAAAAAATATTGTAATATTTGAGGGGTGGTTTCACCCTCTTGGAACTGGAATTTCGAAAAATCCCATCTTATCGAAATAATTCTAATTAAATTATAATGCTCAACTTTCTGTTTTTTATTTTCTTTTTGTTTCAGTTTCCGAATGCAGTCTGTTTGTGTGACCTCTACCCTATGTGCCTTTGTTTGTGATATAATCTTCCTTTCAGCACGTCATTTATATATTTAATAAATAATAATAATAACATTTTACAGTCACAGGTCACAGGTTACCTTCATAGAAGTTAGTTATATTAAAATTTACCCATTATACATTTTACTCAGATAAGAATTAGTGGCCTTAATATGGTTTAGAGCCAGTCAACATCTTGATCACTCTCAAATTGAGCTGGCGGTTGCCTTGTAGCAGAGCCATCATAAAAAAAGAAGAAGAAGAATAGAGCTATAGTATATTTAACAAAACTTTGGTTGCACATCATAATACGACCACCAACTCCATAAGACGACGCATGTTGTCATTGATGACGTGCAACCAAAGTTTTGTTAAATATACTATATATTTTTTTCTTCGAATCAACTCAGGGCACTTTTGACACCCCCTGTAACTTTGTTATGGAAAAGGCAAGAAAAGTTATAGATCAAAATAAGCCACATAATAATACAAATAATTAATGAAATAATCAAAACAAAGCACTCCATCTCGATGAACGAGTTAAATCTAAAATTATCCCACACGAATGGGAATCAGCTATACAGAGCTTCTAAGAATAGAGTTCCTCTTTAATACCAATTAAAAATAATAAACGCCATACCGTTGTGTGATTAATCTGCTTTAAGTTGTATAGTTATCAACAAAAACACGCTGAAATTCGACGATTAAATTTATGGTATTGATGTAAAAAATCCAGAAAGATATATACAGTGTTGTTGAACGAATGCCAAAGCGTAACTGAAAATTTTTCGGGCAATTTCATTATGTTTTTCGATGGTTTTGAGTAAACTCGCCAATAGAATGAGTCATATTAACTTTTATTACATTATATTAAAACAAGCGTGTACCTGCGACTTCGTTCGCGTCGAATTAATCATTTGTAATGGTGATGATAAAGCAAAGCAAGAATTTCCATTAACATACAAACTGGAAATTTTTTTTTCACATTTATGTCAGCATAGGAAAAAACAATATGGCGATATTATTATATAACTTGATAACATTTGAGGGGTAGTTTTATCTCGTTGGAATTAGACTTTCGAAAAATCCGTTTGCCAAAAATGAGCTTTTTTCGTCAAGCAGTTTAAGCAGAATCGTGGTTAATCAATTACCCAACTTTTTGGAACACCCTGTACGATTTTTTAAAAAATTTCAAAATATGTAAAAAAACAAAATAAATTATGTGTTTCCAAGCGTTTTCCCGAAAGACTAACCGTTTTTTAAATAACAAATATTGTAATATTTGAGGGGCGTTTTCAGCCTCTTGAAATTTTAGATTTGAGAAACCCCTCCTTATCGAACCTCTACACCCTGAAGTCAATCCGTTTTCCAAAAATCGTTTTTTACGTCAAGATTCGTGATTAATCAATGACCAGATTTCTCCAAACCAAACCAAATCAAACCAAAAACAAAATAAAATAAAATATATGTCGGAAACTTGACCGTTTTTTAAATAAAAAATATTGTAATATTTGAGGGGTTGTTTCACCCCCTTGGAACTGGAATTTTGAAAAATCCCTTCTTATCAAACCTCTACACCCCAGAATCAACCTGTATACCAAAATTGAGCTTTTTACGTTGAGTGGTTTGAGCAGGATCGTGATTAATCAGTGAGTCAGTCACTTAAGGATTTTATATATTAGTATAGATTAAACTTATACAGGGTGTCCTAATATTCCGACCAATATTGCGACATAGAGAAAAGGATGGTGCCACTCCAATATACCAATATACATAGTGTTTTTTTTAATACTCAATATTTTTTTATGTAAATAGAGTCATTTTATTACCTTCCCTGTCATAGAGCCTGAAAGCTCCTTTCAGTTCTGTTTGAATAGCGTCGGTATCTTCATCATCTTCAACCAAAAACCTGGCTGCCAAATTGGCAAATTCCTCAAAATTAACTTCTCCGTTGCCGTCTTCATCTATCTCACAAATCACACTCTAGAGGAAAGTATAATATATTAGAGTAAACCCAAATTAAAAGTTTGCTGGCATCCAATCATGCGAATTTAGTAATTTTAAGAGCTATAGTTATTTTGAAATTTACAGAATTTACAAAGTTTCTAAGATAAAGTGATTAGAATACTTTTTTTAAAATATAGTACCTCTAGTTCGTTTCCTATGAGTTGTGTACCCAACATATCCAAGATGGTTCCAATCATTTCCGTACTGATGAACCCTTTCTTCTCCACATCGAAAGCATCAAATGTTGATTTTAACACTAACAAAAAAAAACAGAAATTTACTGCGTTATTTCATTTTTACAAAACAAACCAATAAAAATGTATACATTTTTAGAATGCCTTACTATAAGTCATTGAAATGAAGTTATTTTTTAGTAATATCAGAAATTACAAAAATATTGCATTTACTAATGAAATAAAACAACAGAAATGCTACATGAATATCCTCAACATAATTTCAGTAACAAATAAGAAAGAGAAATTAAGAGTGAGACTTAGTAGTCTTCTCTAGATTAATAACACACCATACGATCGAAAAAAAACGGCGTCAAAGACGGCTGGGGAATGCCAATCGATGACAATCTTGGCGAGGTCAATGGCGAGGTTTTTATTTATTTTTATATTGATTAAATATAATTTTTAGATAGTTTAGTTTAAAATTCGAGAATTTTTTTTTCATAAAACATAGCCGCCTTTGACACCGTTTCTTTTTCGATCTTACGGTACATGAATCTTATTAGTTAGATCATTTACTGTTACTCTAGACTTATACCGGGTGCGTCTCAAAAGTGGCTCACCCCTATAACTTTTTTATTTTTTTTAGATAAAAAAACGAGATTTGGTATGTTAGTATATGCCATAAATTAGGATTGATTGGCGTATTCAATTGTTTTTGGTCACTTCCTATTTCACCGGAAATGACTACAACTTTTGATTTTTAAATGACACTCCTGGTATTTTTTTGCTTTATTCGATAGAAAGTGACATTCTGAATAGAATGATATATCATATGTCAACTTTTGACATTTTCCCATATGGTTTATTTAAAATTATAACTTGCGGTTCGTAACGAAAATTTGACTCGAAATACCAAGTGTGTGGTAGCAAATTATTCGCAAAAAAATGCTTTTTCCAAATATGCTAATGAGCCACTCTCGTTCCGTTTGAAAAAATTGAGATATGAAAAAATAAAAAAGTTACAGGGGGTGAACCACTTTTGAGACGCACCCGGTATATCAATGTATTGTAATAACCAATATTTTATAACAACAAATTTTCTTCAAAAATTAAAAAAAAACTGTTATTTTAATAGACTAAATAATTGCAATTTTACTTACTCAACAACTGCTCTCGATCTAGATCATCCTGTAAAAAAAATAATTAGGGTATTTAGTAAAAAGTGGTATCTAAGTTATGATAAAAACTATGGAAAATTAGGATATTAATAAACTGTATTAGAAAAAAAGCAAATTAGAGATAACTCTCAAAATAATAGCTCAAATGTGCGATTGTGTGAATGAAAAATAAGTCGGCGTCACAGTAACCTAGAAAACATGTTAGTAGAAATGTAGTTTTTTGCTTCCGACGACGGGAAGAGACATACATCCCGAAACGTTAAGCATTTTTTTTGTCCGTTAGGCATATTTGTTTATTGGTAAACTACTGTTGGCAATTAGTCTCCGTTTGATTAATCCCAGCAGTGTTTACAAGTAACATTTTCAAATCCGCCCTGTATTTCAGAAACCAAAGGAAGCTAGGAAAAATCTCTCTGTAGCATCTCTAGTTTCATCATAAAGAGAAACCCCATAAAACACACGAAAATTGAACACCCTGTACAATATTAACAATGTTTGGAAGAAGCAAAAATAAAAAGTGATTAAAACAAATTAACAAACTGACTCAAACTACATATTACAAGTAATGGTACTTAATTGGAAAACTGACTTACCATGTTGACCACCCCACTTTCGTCGAAGCTTTCAACAAAAGACATGACTTTCTGCAAAGAAAGCTTCCTCTCGCTCATGGCTATTTTTCGACTTATCCCTGGAGGGGATTGTTGGAGGAAGTGCCATTTTCGCGGGTCTTCTTCGTTTTATTTCGATCTGTGGCACGCCGGCTATTCCTCGAGGCATCCGGGGTATCTTGCGATTGAATGCGACAGAGTCGTAGCAGTAACAATTGTTGTACTCTCATTTTTTTATTAAATAAAAATAAACTGCTTGTAATGGATGATTCTACATAAGTTAAGCTTCTACATAAGTTCCAGTAAACGTCAAAACTGTTTAATATCCAAGAGTTATTATACTTTGAAAATTAAAAAAAATATATTTTTTTCTAAAATTTTGAGAACCACTGGATCTTTTCTGGATTTTCTTTCTTGTAAATTTAATCTAATACCTATGTTGCCATATTATCAAGAAATTATGTTTTCTTTAGTTTTAACTAAAAACTAAAAAATTCCAAAAATTTCGAATTTTCAATTTTTTTTTCTCGAAAAAAACCTCATAGGCATGTTTTTGGGGTTAAACTATACTACCAGTTAAATACTTGCACTTATTTCTGGGATACCCTGTATAAAAAATTTATTAGTGGCTCCTAAAATAAAACAAGGGACAAATAGCAGTAGACTTTTGATAATTCTTTAGTTTCTTTTATTATCAACAATGGCACAAAAATTATTATTTTAATGAAAACTTTTAAATATTGCAGTAAATTTATATCTATTTTTGAGAAGCTTATGTCAAGTCAGATCATATAATTTATAATTACACAGGGTGTTCCATTTAAGTTAACTTTAGTTCATATCTTTAAAAATATTATTTTCAAAGAATAACAGACTACGCTACTGTATTTTACGTAAAAAAGTTCTACAATAATTTTTACCTTCTCGATACCCTTAACATTACCAGAGATATAGAGGGTGTCCCAAATTGCACAATTTTCAAAAATACCCTCTAGCTCCCCAAGTAGCATTTTCACGACTTGCGACCACATGTTTACTAAACACAACGTTGGATTAGTTACAAAAAATAGTTAGATCCCTACCTTGGGTATTAAAATAAATTTAAACGTTTTTATAACGTTGTGCCGACGTTGGACTAGTACTACAGCAAAGTAGAAGCTTCTGCGACGTCGAATAAACGTTGTCTTGTAACCTTTTTTGCTTATGTGATCTTTAGGTGATTTGGACAACGTAGTTACAACGTTGGATAATATAGAGTTTTCCGACGTCAGTTTCAGGACCTATTCCAACGTTATGCAAACGTCGTCTGTTTTACTAATTCCAACGTTGTTTAGATTTCCTTATTCTTACGTTGGTAGGACGTAGAGTCACTACCTTTTTGCAACTGTATTGAACCATAACCTTAAATCTTAAATTTTCAATTCATTGTTCTGTTCAGTCAGACAGTTCAGTGCTGTTTTTGTTTTTATAAAAAAAAAACTTAATTAAAATGGGACATAAGAAAGGTACATATAAAACTAAATTTAAATATACATCGACATATATTACCGACACTTCCTCGTTTATTTAGATTATAGAGGGCGGCACAAGCTAGACTCTAGAATGACTAAATTAGGCAATCTTGCGACTAGTATACTACCTGTTAAGGCCGAACTGCGACTTTATTAGTCCAGTATGCGACTACTCGAACTACTCCATCTTAATCTCCAAAACAACAAAGTTAAAGCCGCCATGTTGTTAAATAAGAAAATGTTTCGTTCTTAAAATAGCAATTCCTGCTTTTTGAATACATTAACTTGAAATATTTGACCCTAAAAAATACGCGGAAACAATTTTTTCGAATGCGAATAAATTATTCTCATTTTACTAAAAAAAAAATTCAAGAAAATTTTTAAAACTTCTTTAATTTCAAGGCCCATTAGTATTTTTTAAAGTAGAAACAATACATTTATCAATAAAGTTGTTTGCGTTTAACTTTTTACCTTGGGTAACGAGTTACAGAGTCGGTTAAAGTGTTTCAATAATTATGATCTTCAAACATCCTCCACACTTAAATACTTTTGTTTTGTTTTCCTTCACTGCCATCTGACATATGTCTCTAACTAAATTATAAATATAATATTTTTACTATAATTATCCCAATTTAGGATAAAACGCGACTTAGACGCCATATTAGTTTTGTATTTCTGTGAATTAGGATTTTAAACAACGTTGCAGTTTGTACTAAATTAGGCTGCTAGCCAACGTCGGTATCCAACGTCGTTTCGACCCAAAAATTATTCTCCAAACTAGTGCAGACTAGGGTTGGCACGAGGTTGTGCCGACGTTGCGCCCCGACGTTTGGTCGCGTGACACAACGTTGTCCCGACGTCCAAATGCTGCTTGGGATCAGAAACGAGGAGGGCTATGTAAATTTTGTTTACGGAATATTCCATTTGACAAAAAAGTGGTATAGGTTTGTGCAAACCGCACCTTTTTATCTTCATTAATAACACAGATACCGTATGAGTTCAACTAAAATGGGATACCCTGTACTCCTTTCTTTATTAAACTAATTGGAAGTGGAAAAGGTATAACTTGAAGGTTTCAGTAGAATAAGTCAATAACTTTTTTAATTCAACTAAACTTTTTTATTTAATTTACAGTGGTTTACAGTGGAATACACCTAAAATTATGGATTTTTTTAGCATTAAATTCATTTTTTTCTTTCTGATGGATGATTTGGTGGTAAAGGAGGAGCTTCATACACATCATTATATTTATTCTCCACTGCAGTCCTCACATAATCCATTCCTTCATACACCGCATGCAGTATTTTTCCTGTACACATTTTAGGCGTAAGATATCCTTCCAAGGTAGTAGATAATGACAGAGCACTAGGTTTCCTATCAGGCAAATCAGTGCAAGTATTTAGACTATATATTCCCGAAACGTCACTATGACCCTCTTTACCAATTTCAACAACTCTTTTCTTACTTCTTATTAACTGAGGCTTATTTTTAATAATAAAATACGTTACTACAACTGTCAGTATGATGGTAAATATAAACGAAAAAATAATGCTTGATATTAAAACTAACTCCTGATTTTTATAGAGCAATGTTCTTTCAGACCACGGAGGTAGAGTTTTTAGTGCACTACAGTCTTCTACAATAACAGAAAATGAATCGGTACTATCATTAGAAGCTATACAAATAGTGTAGGTAGTGTCAAAAGCTAAGTTCATGGTAATATCATCGTCATCAAGTTCGTAGACGCATCCATAATCATTCTCGTCATTTGTGTTGGTCCAGATAAGATAGTCAGTACTTTGTAGATCACCTTTTAGACGGATAATATACGAAGACCCATTTTCCGTCTCTGAAATTACGTAATTTATGTTCCTTTTCTTGAAAACAGCTTCTTTAATTGAGTTTTTTGTCACCATCTCATCGTCAGATGAACAGTCCTTCAAATTTTTGCATTGAATTGTTAAAAATATGTACTCGGTACTGTTTTTTCCTTCTGTAGATGGTAAAGTTGGTACTAACTCATCACTATACGTACTAAAAATACTTTCAGGACAAAATTCAAACTCATTTATACCCTTCCACGTAGAATTATATCTACACTTTGGTAAATTTTGACTTTTCTGGTTGTTCAAGAAGTTTTTGATCCATTCTAAATCACAATCGCATTTGAGAGAATTATTTTCAATATTTAGTGTAAGCAAATTATTCAACGTAAAAAATAAACTTTCCTTCAGAGTTTCCAAATCATTGTTGCTTATATCAAGTAACTGAAGTTTTCTCAGATTATTGAAAGTATTATCATTTATTTCTTGAATTCCACAGTATGATAAATTTAATGATATAAGATTTGGACTGTTTAGAAATAGAGTATTTGGAATCATAGTCAAGCTATTGTAGCTTAAATTTAATGCTTGAAGCTTACTAAAACTTGAAGCTTTTCCAGAAAGGTTTTTTAGAGATTCTACATTATTTAGTGCATAATTAAATGAAATGTACTCAATGTACTGTGCAGTATCGTTAAGTAAATCTTCTTCAACATCAACACTTTGCCCCAAAGCAGAAAATTCGAAAGCAAAAGATGATAATAAGCTTCCATCAAAAGACTGCTTATTAAGATGGCATATCTTGGTTTCAACTAAACTTAAATTTAACAAAGATTTATTAAATGGAATCCCTGAAAATGAGGCAGACCCCAATTCTTTCAGGTCTGTTTTTGCTATAGTAAGCAATTCAATGGAGATATTCTTCAGTGAGCTTAACCATCCCTTTGTGATAGTGTTGTTAACAAACTGTGTTTTGAATAGTCTAAGTTTGTAAGATCCTGTACAGTTACTATCCTAAAAAAGTTATGTAATTATTTTAGTCAGTAAATCTAAAATATTTTAGCATACTTTCTCCATTGTGATATTTTTGATTGACCTTACAACATCTGGTATATTTCCTCCAATACAAGCAATACTACATTCGTATTTATTTTGACATAAAGTGTCATTGTTGTCATCATTATAGGTAAAGTTTTGATAGATTTGAAGTGATCTTATTGTGATATTATTTTTATCTGAATTTATAGATAAAAATGCACTATGTTTTTCGATGTCATCATGGATTGTAAATGATTCTATAGTATCTATTGTATTATTGTATTGATTTAAATATAAAGATGACGTATTAATATTTTCTTCGTCTTCATATATTAATACAAATGGAATGATTATTACCATAATGATAAGAATTATTAGTACGAAACTTATAGATACAATTTTCTTATTACCATCTGTATGCATTTTCACGTAACCTAAAACAAACAACATTTTTTATAAAAAATATTAATCTTACATTAATTTGTTATAAATTTGACAGGTACAATTTGGGCCACATCATAACAAGTAAATATTCGAGTACCTCTTAATATTTTAGGCTATTTACTGTCAATCGAAACAGTTTATGAGAGCGAATGAAAAATGATGAAACCCACGCGAATTTCAAGAAATCCGATATCAAAACACGAAAGTGGAAATGTGTTGGCAAAGAATTTGTTTGCAAGCCAAGCGGCTACAATGTTTTTAATATCGAAATAATAACTTTTCCAGATACTGCATTGAACACATACTTAAATATCTTATACAGGGTTGTTCACAACATACGACACGGAGTATTGTAGCTAAACGATGAGATTTTTACAAATTGTAAGTTTGGGGTTCGTTGAAGGACTATTAGAGCTACAATTTAAAAATATTTTTACAAGATACAGAGTGTCCCAAATAAATAAAAAATATCAAAGTAGTATTTTTTTAAATGGAACACCCTGTATATTATTAAATTTTTAGTTTCTACGATTAAAATAAAGGTAAATTTGATTAAGGTTTATTATACTTAAACCTTACCGTTATTGAAATATTTTCAATTTTGTGAAATTGCAGTAAAAATTTTAAAGCTTCATTTTTCCAAGGGTATCAATGTTTTTAATACTAAATATTTAATGAAGTTTATTTATTGATCCGTTATTGTGTTGAATAATAAAAATAATACTACTTTATAGAGAGTGTCTAAAAATTTACTTTAAATAATTATTAACTTCAAACGGCAACAACTTCTTTAATTTAAATAGAATGCCCTGTATATTTTAGGAGAATCAGATGCACAATTAAATTGTCTATCAAATTTATTATACCATTTTTTACCTATCCCTTCAAGTTTTCGTATAAAATGCATTTTCTTATAATTTAGACCTCATTTATCAATATATCAATGGAATATTGACATTTTAGATTGTTTTTAAAGCAACAAATGTACAAAATGTACAGACTAGTAATATTATCGTTTTTAGCAAAACGATAATATTACTAGCCCATTTGTATGCAAAAAGAAAACTATTTAAATCTTTATAAAAGAGTATACCATTAATTAAATATAACACCATTATTTGCGCCCATATACTAATTAATTACATACTTAATTGTGTTCGTTATTAAATTATTATAAATAAATGTGGATTTGAGTCAGAAATCAATATAATAATAAGTTATCAAATTAAAGTCTCTGTAGTTATAAATAAGCATTTATTAAAAAATGAAATATCATTTTTAAGGTGTTACTTTTTATCACACTGTCTAATGCCCATACAAAATTCAGTTTTTTAGTATTTGGAGCAATTATTATTAATCAAAGCAAACAGTCAGTTAATGTTGTTTGAATACTGGAATCATATTAACTGATCCTCTTTAACAAATATTTAAACGTTTTTTTTTATTTTTAATGAACTAAACGAATTATATCGACAATATTAGTATCTGTACTCTTTAAAAATTTGGTACATCTTTTAAAATAATCTAAAATGTCAATAGTCCATGGGTATATTGATAAATAAGTTCTAAATTACAAGAAAATGCATTTTCTACGGAAACTTAAAGAGATAGGTAAAAATGGTATAATATAATTTGATAGACAATTAAATTGTGCATCTGATTCTCGTAAAATATACAGGGTGTTCTATTTAAATTAAACAAGTTATTGCCGTTTGAAGCTAATAATTATTTAAAATAAATTTTTAGACACTCTGTATAAGGTAGTATTATTTTTATTATTGCAACACAATAACTGATCAGTAAATAAACTTCAGTAAATCTTTAGTATTAAAAACTTTGATACCCTTGGAGAAATGAAGCCTTAAAATTTTTACTGCAATTTCACAAAATTGAAAATATTTCAAAAACGGTAAGGTTTAAGTATAATAAACCTTAATCAAATTTTACCTTTATTTTAATCGTAGAAACTAAAAATGTAATAATATACAGGGTGTTCCATTTAAAAAAATACAACTTTGATATTTTTTACTTATTTGGGACACTCTGTATCTTGTAAAATTATTTTTAAATTGTACCTCTAATAATCCTTCATCGAACCCAAAACTTACAATTTGTAAAAATCTCATCGTTTAGCTACAATACTCCGTGTCGTATGTGGTGAACAACCCTGTATAATTTTCTAGATAACTTAAAAAAATTAGTTATATACTTACACAAAATGGACGGAAATATCACAATATATAAATCTAAATAATCATGTTTCAACTCCTATAAGAAACGCACGCAAATTTACATATCAAAGAACTAGAAAACAATACTCTCAAAATTTTAACAGCAATCGGGAATAACAATGTATATAATCATTAATGATAATATTGCTATATTTTTCGGTATTGTTTTTGAATAGATACTAAAGTGGATTTTTCGATATTACGAATATTAGATTATTATAATTTGCCATTAATGATTGACACAGAACTTCGATTAGAAATGTAAATACATTCATACACAAACACAATATTTTCTTTGCTTACAGAATAACCTATATTTAAAGGCATAGATATAATTAATGTATACAGGGTTGTTCACCACATATGACACAGAGTATTGTAGCTAAACGATGAGATTTTTACAAATTGTAAGTTTGGGGTTCGTTGAAGGACTATTAGAGCTACAATTTAAAAATATTTTTACAAGATATCACAATATATAAATCTAAATAATCATGTTTCAACTCCTATAAGAAACGCACGCAAATTTACATATCAAAGAACTAGAAAACAATACTCTCAAAATTTTAACAGCAATCGGGAATAACAATGTATATAATCATTAATGATAATATTGCTATATTTTTCGGTATTGTTTTTGAATAGATACTAAAGTGGATTTTTCGATATTACGAATATTAGATTATTATAATTTGCCATTAATGATTGACACAGAACTTCGATTAGAAATGTAAATACATTCATACACAAACACAATATTTTCTTTGCTTACAGAATAACCTATATTTAAAGGCATAGATATAATTAATGTATACAGGGTTGTTCACCACATATGACACAGAGTATTGTAGCTAAACGATGAGATTTTTACAAATTGTAAGTTTGGGGTTCGTTGAAGGACTATTAGAGCTACAATTTAAAAATATTTTTACAAGATACAGAGTGTCCCAAATAAATAAAAAATATCAAAGTTGTATTTTTTTAAATGGAACACCCTGTATATTATTACATTTTTAGTTTCTACGATTAAAATAAAGGTAAGTTTGATTAAGTTTTATTATACTTAAACCTTACCGTTTTTGAAATATTTTCAATTTTGTGAAATTGCAGTAAAAATTTTAAAGCTTCATTTCTCCAAGGGTATCAATGTTTTTAATACTAAATATTTAAAGAAGTTTATTAATTGATCAGTTATTGTGTTGCAATAATAAAAATAATACTACCTTATACAGAGTGTCTAAAAATTTGTTTTAAATAATTATTAGCTTCAAACGGCAATAACTTCTTTAATTTAAATGGAATGCCCTGTATATTTTAGGAGAATCAGATGCACAATTAAATTGTCTATCAAATTGTATTATACCATTTTTTACCTATCCCTTCAAGTTTTCGTAGAAAATGCATTTTCTTATAATTTAGACCTCATTTATCAATATATCCATGGAATTACATTATAGATTGTTTTTAAAGCAACAAATGTACAAAATGTACAGACTAGTAATATTATCGTTTTTAGCAAAACGATAATATTACTAGCCCATTTGTATGCAAAAATAAATGTGGATTTGTGTCAGAAATCAATATAATAATAAGTTATCAAATTAAAGTCTCTGTTGTTATAAATAAGCATTTATTAAAAAATGAAATATCATTTTTAAGGTGTTACTTTTTATCACACTGTCTAATGCCCATACAAAATTCAGTTTTTTAGTATTTGGAGCAATTATTATTAATCAACGCAAACAGTCAGTTAATGTAGTTTGAATACTGGAATCATATTAATTGATCCTCTTTAACAAATATTTAAACAGTTTTTTTTTATTTTTAATGAAATAAACGAATTATATCTACAATATTAGTATCTGTACTCTTTAAAAATTTGGTATATCTTTAAAAATAATCTAAAATGTCAATAGTCCATGGGTATATTGATAAATAAGTTCTAAATTACAAGAAAATGCATTTTCTACGGAAACTTAAAGAGATAGGTAAAAAATGGTATAATATAATTTGTTAGACAATTAAATTGTGCATCTGATTCTCGTAAAATATACAGGGTGTTCCATTTAAATTAAACAAGTAATGCCCTGTATATTTTAGGAGAATCAGATGCACAATTAAATTGTCTATCAAATTGTATTATACCATTTTTTACCTATCCCTTCAAGTTTTCGTAGAAAATGCATTTTCTTATAATTTAGACCTCATTTATCAATATATCCATGGAATATTGACATTTTAGATTGTTTTTAAAGCAACAAATGTACAAAATGTACAGATTAGTAATATTATCGTTTTTAGCAAAACGATAATATTACTAGCCCATTTGTATGCAAAAAGAAAACTATTTAAATCTTTATAAAAGAGTATACCATTAATTAAATATAACACCATTATTTCCGCCCATATACTAATTAATTACATACTTAATTGTGTTCGTTAATAAATTATTATAAATAAATGTGGATTTGAGTCAGAAATCAATATAATAATAACTTATCAAATTAAAGTCTCTGTTGTTATAAATAAGCATTTATTAAAAAATGAAATATCATTTTTAAGGTGTTACTTTTTATCACACTGTCTAATGCCCATACAAAATCCAGTTTTTTAGTATTTGGAGCAATTATTATTAATCAACGCAAACAGTCAGTTAATGTAGTTTGAATACTGGAATCACAGCTGGAATCATATTAATTGGTCCCCTTTAACAAATATTTAAACAGTTTTTTTTATTTTTTAATGAAATAAACAAATTATATCGACAATATTAGTATCTGTACTCTTTAAAAATCTGGTACATCTTTAAAAATAATCTAAAATGTTAATATTCCATGGGTATATTGATAAATATGTTCTAAATTACAAGAAAATGCATTTTCTACGGAAACTTAAAGAGATAGGTACAAAATGGTAAATATAATTTGATAGACAATTAAGTTGTGCATCTGATTCTCGTAAAATATACAGGGTGTTCCATTTAAATTAAACAAGTTATTGCCGTTTGAAGCTAATAATTATTTAAAATAAATTTTTAGACACTCTGTATAAGGTAGTATTATTTTTATTATTGCAATACAATAACTGATCAGTAAATAAACTTCAGTAAATCTTTAGTATTAAAAACTTTGATACCCTTGGAGAAATGAAGCCTTAAAATTTTTACTGCAATTTCACAAAATTGAAAATATTTCAAAAACGGTAAGGTTTAAGTATAATAAACCTTAATCAAATTTACCTTTATTTTAATCGCAGAAACTAAAAATGTAATAATATACAGGGTGTTCCATTTAAAAAATACAACTTTGATATTTTTTACTTATTTGGGACAATCTGTATCTTGTAAAATTATTTTTAAATTGTACCTCTAATAGTCCTTCATCGAACCCAATACTTACAATTTGTAAAAATCTCATCGTTTAGCTACAATACTCCGTGTCGTATGTGGTGACCAACCCTGTATATCACGTGTAATTTTGATTGTGATAAAACCTCAGGTGGTTAAATTACACCTGACGTTACTGTCAAATTTGTTTCCTTTTAACACTAGTTATAATTTTGTGTCAGTTTAAACGAAAAAATTCTGAGAAATTTGCCGAAAATAAAAACTTATCCTATAGCAGAGAGAATTGATATGACTCTACTAATTGGCAAATGGCAGTGTAAAAACTTACGAAAAATGTATTTTATCTCAAAAACTTAATAATTACTCTTTTTTACTACAAATTTCCCATTCTAACGAAAGTGGCTCTTGCTTTTTCTATTTGTCATTTTATTTCTACAGAGTGGTCCCATTGCTCATTAATCGTAGTCGTAGTACCCAAATATGTGTAATTAGTTACTCTTTCGATTGGTTCATTATTTGTAGATGACACTATAATGTAAATAAGAGTGCAAGAAAAATACTCGGAAATATTTGTCGTGGGCTTTCGTAAATCCAGTTCAACGATACGAATTGGGACGATTTTACAGCGGGTTAGAATTTAATTTGAGAGAGGCGGCGATCTGGATAAGGCCTGGACCGGTGCCAGGCGACGGAAAGCAAGTATAAAATCCGGCCGAATCCAGAGGCGGTCACGTGACGCCGACGCCGGCCGCTATCAGGTAAATGGTTAGCATTGTTAATGGTGCTCGACAGGGCAGGACTAAACAAAATTCATTTGAGTTTAATAAAATATGATTCACAGAAGATAATTTTTTTTTTATTTTCTGTAAAACCTATTTAGAACTCTATATTATATACATGCGACGGCAAGATCAATATAAGCGTGACTGCTTTATTTATTACCAAGTCGAGAGACCAGAGAGCCGGCAATCAACAAGGACAATTCTATATTAGCTAGTACTTTCCTCCGATACTGCCTGTTTTGGTCCCGTGTATTTCAGTTGAGGGTTGGAACATTTGGGGTTACAACAGGAAAATAAAACACTAATTCACCATAATACATCAAAACAGGTTACTTTTGCACTGGACGCGCGTTTCACTAACCATGTTAGCATCAATAGCGGATGATTAAAACTAAACTAATATCTACAAATTGAGTCTATTATATAGGCGCTCACTTCATACCGACCAAGAGTGATAAAACTATCCAAGCGAGTCAAAACCAACCGAGAGTCACAATTAAGTACCGAGACTAGGGCAATAGGAACAAAGAACTAGAAAAACTTAGACCAGTGCCTGATGTTCATATTATCTTTACACTTTTTTTATTTTGACGCTCTCATATACATCTAATTTAATAAATAAATACAATAATACAATCAAAATAATGTCTCTCTGCAAAATTCTTAGGGCTTGTTGTAGACAATTCTCTGAAATGGGACATACATATCGAAGCTTTGTCGAAGAAATTGAGCTCTGCCTGTTTTGCATTAAGATCTGTTTCAAAGGAGCTTAACTTGTCAGTGGCTAGAACTGTTTATTATGCACTTTTTGAATCGCACCTCAGGTATGCCCTTTCATTCTGGGGTACGTGTTGTGCGACTCAATTTGACTGCGCGTAGCAAGATCTTTATCTACCTACCCCACGCTCAGAGTTAGTTAAAAGTTCAAACAAACAAACAAACAAACAACGCTTTATTGTGCAAAAAGCCAAAACAGCTTCATCGACAAAGCACTCACAAACAACAAAATCA